CGAAGTTTGCTACCCATCGTTCGACGAAGGCGCGAGCCACTGTTTCAGCAGTGATGTCCTTGATAAGTACTGCTTCTGGCCGTCGAGTGAAACGGTCTACGCAAGTTAAGAGTATCCATTTGAATCTGATAGAGGTCTTGTAGAATTATGGTCTACTATGATTTCAGTGATGCTCTAGTAATAGACCTAATCCTAATATTATAGATTTGTCATGATATAACTGCCTAATCTATAAGATCTTACGTGGAAGTCATATCATTGTCTACACCAACTCACTACATTGTAACAATTACCAATACATGATAGAGAACAAACTTGGGCTAGAGATAGAACAATATATTTAATATGAATAAGAGATATAACGTAACATTCAGAAGGGACCACGCATGCATGGCCGAGTCATGCCATCCGATCAACTCCGATTAATTCAACTCCTTGTTACCGCCTTCCCCATCGATAAGTATTTTTCCGCATTAAATATTGAATATCTATTTTCCGAGGAGTCTAGTGTTCAGCTTTGAGGATTGTGTGGTTATGCCACTACAATGCCACTACACTACTCTCCCATCAGAATCAACGTGACGTTAATTCGATATCAAACTGGATGGGATTGTCGCGCACCGGAGGATACAAACAATAATAGGAATCCTCCGGGTATTGATAAGCTGAAAGACAAATCAAAAAGGCGGAGGCATCTGGTCGGGAAATACATGTAATAATTTTAAAATGTTTGGTTTGATGCTTAACACGCTTAAAACGAAAATTTGGGCTAAACATGGGATAATAAGAATAAAGTGATTCCGTGTAGAAATATGTTAATAGGTCGCCGTAAGATGCTTAAGAATAGATTAACTTATAGGTAGTACATATTTTGTGTTTAGAAATATTAAAAAGCAATGAATATTATAGTAATGTCAATATTGGTACTACTATTGGTTTAACTTATGAAAGCAAATAACGTTCATGCCGGTAACCTGTCCATATGTGTTGATTTCCACTTGCATTTGTATCAGTAGGCTAACTGAAAGAATAAAAGAAGAATTTCAACTAGTGTTCCAGTTTGTTTGATACGGTTTATCTAGTTACGAGGAGATTTTCTTGACCTTATTTTTACTTGACCGTGATAGAATTTAGTAATACTCCAGTGAACACGAACACCAATGGAAAATAATCGAATTGTATTTGACACAAAATTACAAAGCCAATGGTAAAATACAGAAAACCATATAATAATTCGTTAATTTGCAAAAATATTGTGATGACGGACCACCGGTGAACTCGATGAAGCTGTAAGAGGCTCAGAGGGAGCCGAAGACGTCTCATCCAATCACCTTTTGGAAGAATATTCTAGAATTCCAACGTGTAGCTTCCCTATTGGATAATGCTAATAACCCCCTGTATGCGGATTGGAAGACTATAATGGTGATTTCGTTCTCACTAAAAATTATAAATACCTGACAATTTTGTACTATGATTGACACTGTTTGGAATAATATTCCTTTAGTTAGTCTTCTGTCTTCTTACTGCGACTTGGAAGGGTTTAGTGTTCTAGTGCTTTGTTATACACGGTAGTATCAAGAAAAATCAACTTTTCAAGATATAACAAATATCAATCCATCATATCAAACCAAACTGTTCCTGTCGTAAACATCAATCCATTGTCTCACATTTCATTGTTCATGCGTTTTTTTTTACAAATTGCATTGTGTTTCTTTCTTGATCTTCCCCCATCTTCTGCTGCCAGACATTACGTTTTTAAGTCGCATCATATACTACTTATGTCAATATAAGTAGCACACCACAATACTACTAATACATATGAATGACTATCAAAAAATGTTCTCATACGTACAAAGTTATAATTATATGAATTTTGGACAGATAGCTAAGAGCAATTCGTTAAACACGAGTGTATTCGTAAGAGACATGGTCTAGACTCAATGTTCTAATTTTTCATAGACTATTTATTTATATTCATACCTACCGGTTGATGGTCCATACAAGTTAGTTGCAAGTATGCAATTTAACATGAGGCGGAATACAATGTAATTGAGTTATAGTGATTATAAGTTATTGAAATCAACTAAGCCTACGTGCCACATTTCTAGGTGATGTGGCGCTGCAAGATATCTTCGGATAACTAAGTCTTTACAAAATGATTAACGGTGATTGATTCTCGTGTGCTTATCAGGGAGAACATAAGTTGAACCCAAGGGAGTAGATTCCAAACTCATGTTTATTATAATGGCTTGAAACTTAGTGAGTTTTGGGGCAAATTCGATATTGATGTTCCCAGTTTGTAGGAGATTTGCTCGAGTGCTTATTCTGATGATTTGCATACATGATTGTGTCGCTAAACCTGTACTTAGACTGATATGATTTTGAGAAATTTACTGAATGAGCAACTGATACAGAAGCATACGGTAATCATCTGGAATATTTTCGATGATTAGATTATTCAGTAGACGACATATATAACGCCGTTCGTGAGGAGGAGTAGTGGTCCAAAAGCATTCAGAATAAAACACGCAGTATGGCAATTAATTCCAGAGTACCTGGTGCTGTTGACGTTTTTGTCACTCGCTCGAATCAGAACGATCGAATGAATCCATATAATTGTGTAGTTGTCATTAAACGAGCCTTCTGAAATGACTTTATGATTGCAGAAAATTTATCGCTTAAACACCGCGTGTTTTTGGAGTAGTGTCACCTTGTTGCTTGTCAGTGGAACTCAAAAATGGGAAATTAGGCAGGCAGTGGTCGAAAGAAAAGATATAACGCGATAGTGTACAGTTTAAAACAGAATGTGTTAAGGCAACGAGTAACGATCGGTAATGGTTTTCGCATTCAGTCGCCGATAGTCACCAGTTGGACGCCAATCGTTGTTGTCCTTTTTAAGGAACGTGTGCAACGGTGATGCCCATGGGCTGCTTGACTGTAGAATGATTCTGAACTCTATCATGTGATCGAATTCGAATTTGACCAACATCAACTTTTCGAGAGCCAGTCGGTGCGCTTTCGAGAATACAGGTGGTCCTGTAGTCATGATGTGCTTTGTAACGTTGTTGGTTGCACATGGCAATTTTGCCTGCGTTTGATGTATCCCGGAATACTTATCGAGTAGTGGTTAATAGAATGGATCTGTCGTGTGCCTTATTGTAACTGGAGACAATTTGCAACCGGAAAAAGGAGTTACGCAAAGAAACAAACTATTGTTTCGTCCACTAGACTCCGTTTGCGCGTATCGATGAATAGTTTATGGTGTTGTAGCAGATCTATACCAACAACAAAAATCCAGTGAATGGGTTTGCATAAACCCACGTTAAGGCAAACGCACCTTTTATCAGTTACGTTCGCCAGCTACAGTTGTCGTTAACGCGTGCCGGCTTGGGAGTTTCCCGAATTGTTTTTCATGTTGGTGGATTTTGAGTTGGGAAAATTGCATGGTTTTCCAAAATTTCTGGAGGACATTCCAATCTGGTTATGATATCAGCACTAGTCTTGGTTATCCGTCTCTCGTGGTCTAGAGACAGATCGCCTACTTGAAGTGCTTCTTCGCGGAGTTTGTGAGCGTTCACGGTTATTACGAAATCGTAGATAACGTGTCAGAGAATGACATAGTCCCGTAATGTCATTCTGTGTCGTTTGAGGTTTTCCTTTGACTGGAAAAACCTCGGTATCAGAAGATTTCGTGATTTAAAGGATGCGGTCGGCTGATTCAGCCAACTCGTCTAAGGCGTTGTTTTGGAACGAAACCAGCATAGCTTGCACCTGTTAAGGAACTTTGGGTAAGAAAAGTTGTTTGAATAGGCCAGCATCGAAGGTTGTTTGGCCGACAACTTCTCTCATTCTTTGCAGCATGTCTGTCGCAGGACCGTGTTGCAGGTTGATGTTATTAAGGAGTTGGTCTAACCTTCGTTTGTCGGACAGGTCTCCGCGTTTAAGGACAGATCGTTTCAGTGTTTCGTAGGGGGCCGAAACATGGCTAGTAAACATGCTAGATGTTACGCACGGTAGTGCCTTGACTACTGCGAGGCATTATGCACGTGTGTAGGTCACGCCATGCTCGTAGAGGTCGGCCTCTTCGTAGCAGAACCAGGCTTCGATGTTGTATGGTCAGCAGGACATTAACCGAAACGAAGTTGGGGTCATAGTTTTTATCTTAAGTACCTTAGGTGTCTGTTCCTCACGGAGAAATATTAAGTAAAAAAATGGACGGGGAAAAATATATATATATTCAAAAACACGGGAAAAATATCATATCTAAAAGTTAAAATAAAGCAATGATATATGAAATCCAAAAATGGAACAGACTCACAATTTATAATATGGTGTACCACACCACGTTGGGCTCACTAATGAAGATGCCACAGGTATTTGGGATTTGACAACGCTTTAACTAGTAACACCTTCTAATATGCATCGTACCCATCAAGTGAAATAAAATGACAGAAGTGAAAAGGTTCGAAGATATATTTGATAAGCTATCAATATATCGAGGATTGATTGATCTTATCTTGCTAGCGATTGCGGGAGAAGTTGAGCACTGCGTTCCAACTCACGATCTGGTGCCGATGCATGACCGAGCACCTTGAGCTAGGTGAGTCCATTAAAACTAATGCGGTTAGCATCTAATGTCGAAGACATACATAGCTATTTATTTTGTGGATTTATTCACAGTAGATTATATCAAGATTTAGACATTCTTACAAATTATTTCACATAAAATAATATTCCAAAACAACCCAAACTTACATAAAGCTTTGGCTTTACATTTCTTTTGCACAAATATGAGATCTGGATCTTAAAAATACTACACTAGTTCCATCTCTCTTCGAGAAACTCGATGAATATCGTCAAAAAAACCAAAATTTCGTTGAGCGATTTATTATGAGTATTAATAAAGTTATAGTAATGCGTTTTTACGATCTTGAAAAGCTGAAATTGAAACAACCTGTACAAACTTTTTCGTGATGTTTATACGCATTGAAAAGCCAAGACTAGTTTAAGCGCGGGGTTTCGTGTGATTCGAATCAGCCGTCAGCTGATATGATGCAGGTGCCGTTTGATGGTACGTCCCTGGACCTACATGCAAATCTTCAAATTCGAGATGCATGTCAACTTAATACACAAGTTGGAGGTTTTCAAACTATTCATCCTTCATTTTCATCTTGCATATATCCATCTCTCGAACAAACAATTAATTCAGTAAACACTGATGCTTTCAAAAAAGAATACAACTATGATGCAGAACTTCAAAGACATATACTCCCCTCTCTTACACTAAATAACTTTGGCTTGCATCACTCAACTTCTGGTTCCATAAATCCTATGCCTCCCATTACGTACTCACCTGGAGTTTGTCCACATCCATACGTGCATCAGACGTTTTCAAATGCTGATTCACCGTCTACCTCAACTGACGTACAGGATAACACGATTTGTCCGGATATAAAGAGACGAAGTCGAGGGAGAAACTCAAGACTTAATTTCACCAATAGTTCACCTGGTGTCGATGATAAACCCGTGTCACTGAGTACGAAGGACTCACAGATAAGCTCTTCAGACTGCAATTCCGACTGCAGTACCGTAACCAGGTCCTCCGAAAAAATGAAGACGTCAGATAAAGATGATCGCTATATTCAGCGTAGGCTGAAAAACAACTTGGCAGCTAAACGTTCAAGAGACAACCGCAAGCGTCGTGAAGATACAATAGCATTACGTGCTAGCTATCTTGAAAAATCCAACTTGGTACTACAAACTCAGATATTAGCTTTAAAAAGGGAAGTTTGTTTGTTACGTGGTATACCATTTGATCCAAACTACAAAGTTCGTGTTTTTAATGACAATTACTTATCCTCTTGCCAAACTACTCCACAGTCTAATGTTTCTACTGACTTCTCAAACGAATGTCCTTTATCAGATTTTTCTCCTATTGCATGTTCAAATCAGACCTTAAACTCTAATGTTCCTTATCCTCCAATCACTGAATTTCCCGGAAATTGTGGGTGAATGTTTATTTGCTATTTCTGTATGTAAATTACACAGAGCTTTCTATTTATTCTTTTTGATAGCGATTTTTAAAGATGACTTCACATTAAACTGACCAAATATTCGACTTCTAATTCTACCCATCTGTATGAATATTTTGCATTTCGGTACAGTCTATCTAGTCTATTTCTTAATCTTTTTAGTTACTTTTGGACCGTTATTTGCTCAATTGACTAGGTTTAATGTTATATAATTGATATGTTTTCTTTGCTTAGTTGTATTGTGAGTTCACGTGTGGTATTACGATTTATATTGTTCGTTATATTCGTATATCCTTAGAAGTATTTTTTTAGCAAGTGATTATACCTGACCAGTCTTATTTGCATAATCGTGTCAAATCATAGTGAAAACCATCAGTAGATTACCAGCATAGGAAAATAAGTATATGTTGAGTATTAGGGGGGCGTATTCTTTATTCATACAGTATTTGCAACTTTCTGATTTAGTTTGTGAGAGATCATTGCTGTATGCAATTATACTATACACTAGCGTTAAACTAGGTTCATGTAATATTGCATACACTTATGGTATCGTTCCTCGGAAGCGCTAATATCTTTTTTCGGTAGGTTCTAATAAGAAACGTTCTCTAGGACAATCTGCAGTCGTCATAATCATTACGACGCTATACTGAGGTTCACTTCTAAGCACCAATATTTAGATCATGTAGTTTATACTATCTAGTGATGACTTTCATTTTCTTTCTTACACTACAAGTTGATTTTCCTATTCTCTGCCAATAAGTCCTGGTGTAAAGTCTTTCAAAGTGAGTATATAAAGTTATTATATATGTATTTCCTATCTGGGATTAACGTCTGTTGTTCTTGGAATGTCCAGTCGTTAATGTAGTGACTGATATTCATTTCTTATCAAAAGCGTCTTCCATAAAAAGTTTCTTACCTCACACGTTGGACTTGGTTTGTTAATAAGTACGGTCAGCTAATCGTCATTTTCAGTTACCTGTCTACGCTCTTTTTATTTGAAGGTTTAAAGGTAGTTGGTAGGTTAATATTTCCTACTTAGTCTTCATACGGGCTCGTATATTTATTGTAAAATAACTCGTTCATCAGGTGCTTGTGTATGAGCCATATAATGTGCCAGCGCTAGTAAATAAAGCCAATTATTATAATAATGATAATATCCGATTGTCCAAACCTAAGTGGAGTGGCGTTCGAACCAGCGACTTAGTATCTGAAGTTCAAACCACATAACTGCCAGGCTGTGCTCCACAGTGCGGTAGTTTGTAGTCTGAAAAGTTCTTATTTTTAGCATCAGTGAGCAGCTACTCAAAAATCATGAAAAATATATCATGTTGGTCACCCGGAGGTGGATAAACCTGTCTACGCACTAAATTCTAGGTCGCTATATATCAATCGTGTCCATATTTTTCACCCATTGCAACTAATCTAGGTCTCCGTAAAAGATCACAAAAATCCTAGCCATCTACTGTTTAACGATATCACTGGATTTTCCACTTGTCAGGCTTTATTTTTACACTTGGCAATGTTATTTCTCACTGAATTTCATATAGTCATCTACCTTTGTTTGTTAGGATGAAATAAAACCACATTATCACCATGATCTAAAAAGTGTATTCGAGTGAAGTCACGTGCACTTGGATTGGTCCAGTCTATAATCAGACATCGCGAAACTTGCCCATGTTTAACTCTTGAGTTTTATAAATAAAAATAATATATATGTAATATCCCAATGAGTAGAAAATTGGATTTTCTGACGTTTCGTGGCTTAGTGTAAGTCACTTCTTCAGAGAATAAATAGGTTGTACTATTTAAACTTGGATTAATTTTAATTTGGTTATTTATTCTCTGAAGAAGTGACTTACACTAAGCCACGAAACGTCAGAAAATCCAATTTTCTACTCATTGGGATATTACATATATATTATTTTTATTTATAACAATCAACCCAATGCTCAATTTATTCGAAATTATCAAATCAAACCTTGGTAATGACATCTTGAGTTTTAGTTCCCTTCATAGCGCTCATGGCCATCAAAGTTTCGGAATATGTCTCAAAATATTCTTAGCAAGTAAACGCACCGCAACCGTCGTTGATGGAAATGGTACGGAATGTTTATTTATTAAGTCGGCTATGTGGCATATATTCTTGTCAGCTTATAGCTATTATTTTATGTAAGTTCTATTGCTATTAGGCCGCTCAAGCTAACTAAGGAAATTGAGGCTCGTTATTCGTTAGTTGAAAGTCAAGTATTTTATTCAGTAAGTTGCCGCTAGCTGATGTATCAATTTCAGGGATAATGTAATGCTATCGTATGAGTAAGCTATACTGGCAGTTTGTTGTGTTACGAATACGTATAGTTATAACGTCTCCCTCCGTAAAGCATAAACAAGACGCAAACATCTCGAAGAAATCGTCTAAACTCTTATGTACTATCAGACTAAAGCAGTGTTCTCGGCCAGCTGAATTGTTCTGCAACACAGTTTGCTATTACAATGGGATGGGATCTAGTTCATGACTAAGGGGTCGTAGTATTATGGGTCTATAAGTCGACGTCGGATAACATATAAAAGTTGTGCACAAGATTATTTCCTTTTTAGGAGTATCGTGCAAGCAAGCTGGAACATTGTATTAAATTAGTCGTAATGGTTTTGATATCTATGTTTAAAACCGTCGACTCGTGTAGTGGTTTGCGTTTAGTCAGGTACTTCTAGGGTAGCATGAAGAGTAGCTTGAGTGAGGAGAGCTAGAAAAGAGAAGAACAAAAAAATGAATCGAGGACTCACCAAGTACACGCAATGAGCACTTAGCGAAGTACAATATACTTTATAGACTCCTTTGGACCACTGATCGTACCACGGTCATATAACTATGGATAAAGTTTTCAGGCGGTACTATTTAGAGATAGTAAGCCGGTTTATAGACTTGTGATATGAGATGTTCTCAATTGTAAGGATAGAACGTCATGTGACTTATGTTAATTCTGACCATCTAGTCCTATAGATATCCGATCTTACTTTGAATATATTAATGGGAGTTTCTGATTTCGAGTGCTTCCGGTAACCTGTGATTTGACTCGAAAAACGAAACTCTATACACAAAGAATTTGATCTTGATATTTGGGATCTCTGAGAATGGCGTCTTTGATTATCAGTCTTAGAAGGACGAAATATATTACTGTCAATATTGTATCATGTAATCTATGGAGATGGACTGAGACACCTCGATCTATTTCGCCTATTTTTATACTATAGGTTAGTAAGACCTTCCATCATTTTGTTCCCACGGTGTTGAAATATTTCAAGTGTCCTTGTTTTTTATTGGAATCAAGGACTCACTGCTTGAATCTAGTATTCCACATGCGGGTATCTTCACCCCCAGTAACTGGATACGTTTTGGCAACCTTCATCTTATTGATATCAGCAGCTATGAAATCGTCGCCAACAACGAATCCAAAATTATAACCACTAACCGAAGTAAAACAATCCACTTATTGTACATAGGTGCGAATTGTCACAACCTATTTCAAATACTGTACTCTTCCAAGAACTTATTTCTAGCAACATTTGATTTGTCCACTTAGAGAGTTTAGATCCTCTTGTAGTCCTATCATATAACTAATTTTGTTTAGTGTAATTTGTAAACAGTAGGACGAATGACTTCGTAACTCCGAGTAAATTTTTCCTTGATAAGTTTTAATCCCAACACTCTTATGAAGATGAACTACTGTAAATTCTCATAAATTACCTTCTATCACTAAGATAGTCACTAATTATACACGCTTAGAAATAAAAATTCCTATTATAGTATACTGATTGTCACAAACATGAAGATAGTTGGAGGCTTAGAAGAACCAGACTAAGGTATGATAATAATCTATTGGATCACTGACCATTGATTTAAAACGGGTCGGAATTTTCAGACATTGATCGAAGCATTGAGACATAATCGTGATCATCTATTGGACAATCCCAATTCTATGCAATAAGAATATATAACCTTGCTAAATAATAATGTAAAAATATCTTTGCCTCGGTCTGGGCACCCGGGCAGTATCACAGCCCACACACAAATATGATAAACTGCCTATAATTATGGAAACTACTTTACCTACTTCAACTAACAATCAAATTATTGTTATTATTATTTACCACATTATTCACCCTCTTTTGTACTTATACAGCGGCTCGTCTCTGGTGGAAATTCCACTGTATCTAAACGTTCTCGAGTCACTGTCCGGTTGAAAATTGTATGCTACCACCAAATACCAATACTGAAGCAGGTTTTCTGAAACCACATGCACCATTCAAACTGGCTGCCTTCAACGTTCGCACGCTTATGCAGGTCGGACAACAGATAGGGCTGACTATGTCTTTGGAAAGTCTTAATATCAACGTTTTTTGTCTATCCGAGACCCGTATTCAAGACTCTGGTGAAGTACTACAAATTAGCTCTCCATCTGTCGATTCAAAAAGCTTGTTTGACGTGCGTTTATCCGGAGACCCTGTGGCATCTTCGTTTGGTCTTGCTGGCGTTGGTGTCGCACTAAGCGTTAGAGTTGAGGCAGCACCAATCGATTGGATCCCAATTAACAGTCGGTTATGTGCTGTTAGATTAGAGAGTTCCATCAAAGTGAGGAGAAATCGGAGTGAGAAATGATGTCTTTTCGTCATCTCCGCCTATGCTCCGACAGATTGCAGCCCGGATGCAATCAAGGATGAGTTTTACCACCATTTATCTGTTCTCCAGAAAGTGCGCTCGACAGATATTGTAGTACCAGCCGGAGACTTGAATGCTCAGGTCGGGCGTCTAGGCACAGAAGAGAGTCGTTTAGGTGGTCGATGGGGACACGTTTGTCGCAGGTCAGATAACGGGAGCCGTCTACTGCAACTGTGCACAGACCACAACCTGTTTCTGGCTAGCACTAACTTTCGGCACAGTCATCCCCGATGTGCCACCTGGCGTCCTCCCTCTGCATCTCAAGCCTGGACTCAGATTGATCACATCGCGATCAGCTACCGCTGGCGTGGTTGTGTACAAGACTGCCGCTCCTTTTGGAGTACCTATCTGGACTCTGACCATGCCTTGGTCTGCGCAAATCTTGCCTTACCTTTCAGTGGCCAACGAAGTGATCGCCACCAAAGGATTGATGTCAGCAAGTTGGTTGCAACTTCTGTTGCTGGTAAGTATCGGACCGGGCAAAGCTTGGGTAAGGACCGAGAAGTCTGGTGGTCGGAGCGTGCTGCATCTCGTAACTACCGGAATCTCTTCCAACTCATCCGAGCCACTGGCAGCAAGAAGTCTGGTGTGAGCGAAACAATCTGCGAGGATGATGGGATGCCAATCACTAACATCCATTGACGTCTTGGACGATGGGCAGAATTTTTCGAAGGGCAGTTCAACTGGCCTGCTGCTCCGGCAACATCGGTCAGACTGTCCTGCCCTCCATGGCCGGTGACGACTGATCCACCAAATGAGGCGGAAGTCCGCAAGGAACTCCAACTCTTGAAGCGTTACAAATCACCGGGTCCAGATGACTTACCTCCGGCTCTTTTTAAAGATGGTGGTGACTTTCTGACTAAGGAACTGAAGACGTTGTTTACAAAGGTCTGGGAACTGGAGAGTGTACCAACGTCATGGAATGAGTCGATAGGTGTCCCTGTCTTTAAAAAGGGTTCACGTCGTTCCTGTAACAACTATCGGGGGATAGGTCTACTTCTGATTGCGTTCAAGCTATTGGCTTCCGTCATACTTCGAAGATTGTTCAAAAGCCGAGAAAGATTGACTCGCGAGGAGCAGGCTGGGTTTCGTTCTGATCGAGGATGTATTGATCATATCTTCACCCTCCGCCAAATGTTAGAACACCGCCATACTTATCAAAGGCCAACAATCGTAGTGTTTCTTGACATCAGG